CGCCCCAGGGCAGAGCAGAGCGGGACAATCCCCTGATACCCCCAGGACAGGGTTGGCCCTCCTGGCTGCCAGGGCACTGCTGACTCAGGGACAACTGGCCACCAACACACAAAGTTGTTTATCCCAAAAGTTCTGGTGATTTCCACAAATTAGACTCAGAGCCCAGCGTTTCCAGGTTAAAAGATTACATCTATAAAAATGTTGATATGAGAGAAATATTCCCTGTGGGTTTTTAAAGCGTTACAGAGTCTTTCCCTGAATTATGGTTTATATTGTTTTCTTAATGGAATGCAGCTGGCTTAATGAATAGAAAAAAATCAAGAATAATTTATTCAGTGACTGATGGGGGGAAGTATCCCAAATAATTTATTTATATTCTATGACACCAATCTATTAATGAAGGCATTTATTCATAAGAAATATGCTCAACAATGACAGTGAAAATTAATCAAACACATTATTAGCAATTATTATTCCACCATTTCTAATTGAGAGCTAAAATGTCCTTTAGCTATAGTTTCTATAGAAAGTGCACAGTGAATTATTCAGGTACCAGAAATTGTTTAGTACATTTCAGGGGAAAGGATGCATCCAACAATATCAATTATACCTGTTCTGACTAAAAAATTGCAATGTTTGCCTATGGGTTTCTGCTACTTTCCAGTTACTTTGCATTATTAATTTGGAGTAATGCTTACACAGAATACCAACAGGAATTTGACAGGAAATTAATGTAGAGACTCCCCCCAGAGATCTTAGATGTTGCTAAGCCCATTTTTCCTTACCCAGAGTTAATGAATAATCATCTCCTTGGCAATGGCTCCTGGAGTAGAGACTTGTACTTTGGTTTCTGTTAAATATAGAAAAATAAAAAGTGTCAGATAACAGAGGCATCAGGGGGATTTATCTAAAGCAACTCTGTGAGTAAATACCCTCCAAAGCAGTGAGTCATCTCTCCAAACTGCTCAGACTATTGATAGCTAATTCAGATTTAAGGGAATTTTGCTATGCAAGGAACTTTTCTCCCTCTTCATTCTAAATACCTTGATATCTCTTCTACATCCAAAAGCAGCACTCCCTCCTCCCTCAGCCCGATAACCAGCTCTTCAATCCAGGGATTTCTTCCATTTTTCTTTCTCAGGTTGCAGGACAACTTCTTTCATAGGTGCTTTTCCGGTATTTCATCACTTAATTTACTGCCTCACCAAGGTGTGGGCTGGCAGTCATTTCCCTGTTGCTTCTGTGCTCAGGAGGAGCTGAGTTCTGGGAAAGCTCTCAGGGAGATTTCCTTGAACAACCTGAGACTCTGAGCTAGAGCTCAACATCCTTCAGAAAACTGATTCAGTTGGCCCAGCTGCTGATCACTGTGGGACAGGGGCTGCTGGGGACCTTAGAGATCATCTCATTCCACCCTTGCCATGGGCAGGGACACCTTCCACTAGCCCAGGTTGCTCCAAGCCCCATCCAACCTGGCCTTGGACACTTCCAGGGATGGGGCAGCCACAGCTTCTCTGGGCAACCTGTGCCAGGGCCTCCCCACCCTCCCAGGGAGGAATTTCTTCCCAATATCCCATCTAACCCTGCCCTCTGGCAGTGGGAAGCTGTTCCCTCTTGTCCTGTCTGTCCAGGCCCTTGTCCCAACTCCCTCTCCAGCTCTCCTGGAGCCCCTTCAGGCACTGGAAGGGGCTCTGAAGTCTCCCCAGGGCCTCCTCTGCTCCAGGCTCAGCACCCCCAGCTCTCTCAGCCTGGCTCAGAGAAAAAATGTTCCCACCCTGATCCAGAATCCCAAATTCCATCCTCTGCAGCGCATTGCAATGGGACCAGAAGGGCACAACAGCCATTTCCAGGGTCAGAGCAACCTTTACAGGCTGATCCATAACATCCACCCCAAGGAGAGGCAGAATTACAGTGTTTTCCCCCAAAGCAGGGAATACTGTGTTCTCCAGAGTCACAAAATGGTCAATACCGAGACCGAAGCTCCAAAAAGACAGAAGAGCTTTTTTGGGTTTCTCCCAGCTGTCTCTCTCTAAGTGCTGGATCCAAAGTCATTTTTTTCTTGCTCCTCAGCCCCCTCCAGTACCTTCTCTTCCCTTGAGGCAGACCCAGGGAGAGCTGGACAAAGCAGAAGAGGAGGCTCAGGACGTTGTTTGGTAGGAGACCAACCAGAACACAACTTCCCCATCACTGACCCTGCAAAGGACTAAATGCATAGAGCATAAAAACAATGAGCCACTGGTTTGAGCCCATGGTGGAGAGGAGGTTCTAAGCTGGGTCCCTGTCACCCCTCCAAAGACCTCAGGGCATATCTTGGCTCAGCACATCCTACATGGACATACTGACAAAACAGGGATGCTTTTCCATGTGTTTTCCCCATGCAGTGCAATACAAGAATGTATGTAAACTGGAGCAAATATTATATAAAGCTTTTGCATAGACAACGTGTGATGTGGGATCATTTTCCACTTTTTGATGTTTTAAGGATATTCTGTATCCCTTGAAATCCTTGTATTTTTAATGCACAGCATAAATAAGCTTTTTCCAATAAACATTTGGAATGATAGTGCTGCCATGCAGAAAATTCTCTTTACAAGTTCCATCTCTGTGCCCTTAAATGCACCACGTCCAAAATGATCAGCTTGAACAAGGACTGCAGCAGCAGCAAGTCCTGGAAAACACCACAGAAAGCAAAATTCAAATCAGGAATACAAAAATAAAATATGTACATAGCTTAAAACATAGATTCAGACCCGGAAACATAACCCTCCACATGTGGAATTGCACTTCTATCATTAGTGCTACAGGGAGACAATTCCCCCACATCCCTCTCTACCACATCCATGAATGTGGGCAGGGCAAAGGACCAGGATCCAGCCCCCTAGAAACCTTATCCCAATATTTCCCTTCCTGGGCTGCAACCAAGTTTTTCCACTTTGAGGATTGTTTTTTTTTGTTTATTCCCCTTTCCCTTTTTAAAACTATATTCTATAGCTATACTCTGATTTGCCTCTATAAGTAACAGAGGTACTGGTAAAGCCCTTTTAATCTGGTCTATATGTACATACCCCTCTTTAAATGACCCTTTCAAGCAGCACTTACTCAGAACTGTTGTTTGAACCACTTCAAGGTAAATTATCTGGGAGCCTCCCCATCCTGCTCATCAGTGACCCTGAAGAACTGGCTTCACCTCTGCTTCCCACCCAAGGGTGCCCCGTGCCCACAGGCTGGAGGGGAGCAGGGCACAGGAGAGGAAGGAACAGCAAAGGCAAACAGTGGGAGTGAAGGCTTGTGCCCAGCACACCCTGCCCATGTGCAGGACGTGGAAAAACAAAGGTGATTTGCAAGTTCAGCCATCCCCCAAGCCCAGCTGGAGCTAAATCCAGCCCTCTAATCAGGAATGGCAAGGGCAAAAGAAATCCATCCCTGCAGCCCCCTGGGGACACGCCGTGGGCACTGCCCCGTGTTTGATAAGCTCTTATTGACGTCATCGAGGCCAGGTTTCTGTCAGGAGAGTTCAGGCTCCTCCTCAAATAACCACCAAAATCAAACCAAAAGGTAAATATACAAAGGGATGTGGCTCATCCCGAGGTCTCTGGTGGGCACTGGAGGCCTCTGAAGATTTCTGAGGGCAGCTCTCCTCTGCCACCTGCGTTCAGCTTTCCTCTCCCTGAGCAGACAGGGGATCATCCCCCTTGCAGTAACTTCAGATCACACTCCCAATTTGTGCAGTGTTTCTACTGTTTCTCAGACTCCCTTGCAAACACTGGCAGGTCCAGAGCCCAAAAGGTGATTTTCACAAGGACTACAAGATGGAGCTGGCAGAGCTCACCGAGATGCAGAGATGAGATCCAAATTAAAATGAGTCCCTGGAGGCTGCCCCCACTGTGACTGAGGGCAGCGTTTAACCAGAGCCTATCCATCCTCCCTGCAAGAATATTTATCACTAAAAAACCCCAAATTTCCAAAATAATTTGGGAAAATCATGGTCATGGAGCCACTCCACAGAAGGTGGGGCTTTCCAGGTGACATCAGCACACCTTTCAGGGTGGGCAGGTGCCCTCCTGTGTAGAGAACTGGCTCACAGCCCCCTGAAGGGCACACAGCTGAGTCTGGGAGGCCGTGTACTCCACAGCAAAGTCAGGATTTTGGCTTCAGCAGGTGGGTGAGCTGTGCTGAGGGAGGGTCAGAATTAGAAACCTCTGGGTGCACAGAAAGTCCTCACAAGGAGGTGCCTGTCAGTCTGGATGTGGATCATTCCTCTTCGGTTCAGGTGCAAACAAAGGCATTGAAAATAACATTTGCACCCTGTACTGGCTCCCTCAGTCCTTACACAGCCCCAAGCAGCAAACAGAGACTTGGAAAAAAGCAATAATTACCTAAAAGTGGTGTTGGGAAAGCAAGAGCACACAGTGCATATGATGTGAAATTATTGTATTGTTTAATTGATATACTGCAGAATATTGTTCTAATGGTAGGAGGGAAAAGAAATAATGATCAGTTAACTCATTATTAATGTTCATTTTCTTTTCCAGAATTGCCAGCGGGTTGAGTTAATTATTAAGCATGACAGTTGGGCTTTAATATATCAGCTATAGATTCCAGTCACAGCAGTCTAGTTTAATAATTGGGTTTCTTTCTCCTTCATTTTGACTAATAGCATACTTACAGCAATTATTAAAATTCATCATAGCACAAAAATAAGCCATTTGAAACCTCACCAAAAATGGCAGCACAGCAGAGCTCTGCTTGATATTTGATGGTGAATTCAAACCAGCTTCTTGGAAAACATAGAGCAGCTTCTCTGATGACTTTTCAACAGCCACAAGGTGAATGTGGACCTTCAGTGAAAGCCATGAGTGCTTCAGGTGAGCCAAGGCAGCGTTGAATAGGCTGCTGCTGCTGCTAAAAAAGTGCATTCAGACTTCACAGGGAAATAAATTCCCTCTGAAAATGCAAATTCACATGTGGTTCTTTAGCTACAGGCAGTTCAGCCAAGCTATGGAAGGTTACTGGTGGAAAGGTGGATATTTTAACACTCTGCTATCAAATTGTTCATGGACAATTCCCAATCTCCCTTGGAATGGCCGTAGGTGCCAAATGGACACAGCTTCTGCCATGAGGAACTCGAAATCCTCACTGCTGACCTTGCAGATTCTTCAAAGACTATGTTTAACTTCCAACATGAGCACAGCTGTGCAAAAGCACCCTAAGCTTAAGATCTACAGGCATCAAGGTGCCCAGCAGAAGTCCTGCACCTTCCCACCACACCAGACAGGGATGGGATTTACTCCAGGACTGACAATTAGGCAAGATTTTGAGTGTTGAAAGAAATAATTAATTATAAAAATACAAAATGAAAACAGAAAATTTGATAAAAGTCTGGTGTTCGTAGTGACTGGGGATGGAAGGACTGTGAGCTGTGTGCTCACCATCTCCTCCTCCAAGGGTTTGATGCAGGAGTTGAAATCACTGGAGACTTGAAGTCTGTTCACAAGTAAAAATAAGGACAAAATAATAATAGAATCACAAAATGGTTTCCTTTTTCTTTCTCAGGTTGCAGGATAACTTCTTTCATAGGTGCTTTTCCGGTATTTCATCACTTAATTTACTGCCTCACCAAGGTGTGGGCTGGCAGTCATTTCCCTGTTGCTTCTGTGCTCAGGAGGAGCTGAGTTCTGGGAAAGCTCTCAGGGAGATTTCCTTGAACAACCTGAGACTCTGAGCTAGAGCTCAACATCCTTCAGAAAACTGATTCAGTTGGCCCAGCTGCTGATCACTGTGGGACAGGGGCTGCTGGGGACCTTAGAGATCATCTCATTCCACCCTTGCCATGGGCAGGGACACCTTCC